CTTATTTTTGTATGAACTTAGGCTATTCTCTTGTATGGAGAAGCACTGAATCAAGTAGAATTTGCTTATGTACTTTGTATCATCTTTCACACTTAGGGTTTTGCAAAGAAATATTAAAATATGTTGAGTTTTGGAAGGGAAGGCTGGCTAGGAGGTAAGATGAACAAATGAAATGTATCCTAGAAGAACTCACAAAGCAGACAAGCAGCTAACAAAGAACTCTGTCTTCATCATTTGACAAAAAGATAACAAAAGTTTTATAAACTAGTAATTTGTTCTGTTTTAAAGTAAGTAGTTTTACTTTAAGCTTACAACTTAACAGAAGTTTTATGGCACAATTTGACATTCTGGGTTTCAGGCACAGAAAATAAAGTATTCCAAAAGAGCTACCTGTTTGATACAGGCAATATCATAACTCAATTTGGAAATCCCAAACAGGAAGGAGAAAGAAGAGCATTCAGAAAGCTTGATAGTACAATAAAAAACTTAACACGTACTATGCTTTAAAATTAAGGTATATGACAGCTTGAGAATACTGCACACTTTTTTTTCAACATGGACATTGTATGATAAGTTTGTAATGTCCAGGTGGCAAAGGATTGTGCTACATAGGAAAAATACCACTGCATTATTGTCAGCTTTAAGTTGTGTGCATACCTATTGTTTTGTATAGGAAATCTGGAATAGTATAAAGGTGGTATTGTTTGTAAGCTAAACTAAAATAATTTAAGATCTTGAATACATTACAATAACTGGAGTATGTGACAGAAGCAAATTGAGGGAATAATTAAACTGGTTGATAAAGAATCTACATTTTGCTATTCTGAACTTGCATATCTACTTACAACACAAAAATATTAGTTACTGAAGTATGATCATACTTTCCAAAAACTGCATATGTGATAAACCCTACTACATATTTTTGCCAAGAATCATGTTTCAAAATTCAAAATAATGAATTATAAATCTTATGAAATATTAAAATAACATACTTATTAAGATTAATAGTAAGATGAATGTATATAATATTGCCCATTTTATAAATGCATTTGTGTTTACACTACTTTAGATTAAAACATGTTCCCAGATATTGCATCTCTGTTCTTTCTTGCATCCTCTTTATCAAGTCTTATAACATGCATTAAATGGTATATTCTTATTAACAAAGTTGTAGAAGGTATGGACCCTCAAATCTCAATTCCCCGCTACTTTTAGTGGTGCACGTTGCCTCCTAAAATACTTCTTTCTCCCAAGATTTTCTCTCCCTTGCTCCTACTTCTGAGTATCCATCTTCTCTTTCTCCTTTCTTCATTCTTCTCCCATTCCTAACTCTGCCAGGAGCCCTCACTCTCAGACATCTTTCTGAGATGTCTTTAGAACAGCTCATTTTCCTGAAACCAAAGCTTCCCAAGCTTCTGTTTCTCTTTTCCCCAAGATATTCATCTTGAAACTGTCTTTCCTAACTTATCTACTCCCCAGGTTCACCCAGGATACTGTGTTCCATGAGATACCTTCTCAAAGATCTCACCTTGAGCCTAGATATCCACCTTAAACAGCCTTGCCAGGAACATTCTCGTGGCTGTATTTCCCTTAGTTCCTTTTGACAAGGTCTCTTCTGAGGCTTGGATCTTGTTTTTAACTCATTTAGATATTGTGTTCCCCTATCTTCCCTACCATCCTATGTCCTTTCCAAGATACCTGCCTTCAGGTCCTGTCTGTTCTATATATAACTTCTCTTCACATATTCTTTTCTCCTAGCTGGTTGTCATGAGATCTCCTCATTTTAACAAACTGTAAAACCATTATCTTGGTTCCCCTCCTCCACTTCTATTTTTATTCTGTGTATTTTGACACTCAACTGACTGTTGGTTAGTACAGAAAATCAGTTGGGTATAAGATGTCAGGCAGTAGAGTGTTTGGACTATGCATGTACTGATTTTAAAAAGTTCTCGAGTGAAACAGAACTTATCAAGGTAGATATTTTGAGAAACTAAGTCATTGAAAATGGGCTAAAATAATCTTGGATGAAGTAATGGATTGTCAAGCAGTAGCAGTAGATGAGTGATAGTGAGATGGTGAATGCAACTAGACTGTAAATGACAAGATTGTAAATACTTGCCCATATAGGAATGGGTGGGTTGGCTTAATAAAATAGTTACATTGGAATGAGGACAGATAATTTCATGTGGCAGGTGACAACTGGAAAAGTAACAGTAAGACATTGGAACAGTTGCAAAGGTCCCTCAGATATATATCACTTCATTTTTTAAGTTAAGGAGCTCAAACTGTACAAATCTAAGAACTCATTTTGACTTTATAGAACTAAGGAGGTCAGGAAGCAAGGAAAATGTGTTAAAAATTAATATCTTACAGATAGTTAAAACCTATGGGTAGTTCCCCATTCCTTTCTCCTTTTGGACCTAAAATCTACCATAATTCCTAGAATATAAAACAAGGTTTTTTCCCCTCAATCAGCATGGGGGGATAAGCTCCTTGTCTTACATTTGCATATAAGGAAACCTCATTAAATACATGGTCTATCATTAACCACTGCCAAAAGTAACATATGCTCAGTAATGCAAACCAGCTAGAGAGTTGATTAAACACAGCCAACACTAAGCATGACTATATAAAACATGTCCCATGTTGGGCAGACATGCTCATGGGAACCTACCACAAGGATTAGTACAGCCCGTCTGAATAAGATACATGGTAGTGCCCGATGAGCTCAGACCCCATCAGTGTTGACTCCTTTTCAAGTCGTGCTGGACCAATACACTGAATACATTTTTACTTCCTCTTCACTCTCATAGCTGAGCTGTGTCCTTCTTTTCCATTTCCAATCATTCCTGTTTCTTCACCACCCTTAAATGTCTGGCAGACATCACCAAACAGGGCCCCAAGCAGTTCAGTCAGAATCCCTCTGTCACCCCCTCTCTTAGCCTGTCGCACATGATTAGTATGGCCCACCCTCCATGAAGTGGAACTGGGTGAAGGGCACCAGCAGTTCTTGGGTTGTGAAGGGAGTGAGGGGCAGAGGCAGGGCTGGGGGTTTGTTGTGGGGGAGTGAGGGGCACCAGCAAGGCCAAGGGCCTTTGCGGCGGGGGGACGACTTTTATTTTAATCATGGATTTGGGGGGGTTATCATAATATTTGCAATTTTTTATCAGGGAAAACCAGGATCCCCACTCATCTGCATATAAATTTTTGGAGGATCCCAGGACTCATGACAAGACCACCCAGTTCCAGTCATGAGCGGGGGGCAAGTTAGCACACGGATCCTTTGTGGGAGGTGTCTGAAGTACACACACATACTGAGCAGTGCTGAGTTATGGGGTCACCATAGCTTGAAATGCTGTTAACTCTGCCAGGGCCCGAGCAATGATAAATCATGAGCCTTTTGGCTTTGGACTAATATCATGTGTATTTTATACTATATATAAGTAGGTATAAAATAGCTGCTTAAAAAGTGTGTTTATGGAGTGTGTGCGCTAAAACTTGCAGCGATTTCAGAAAAGGTAAAATGTCTCAGTTCTGGATAAACTAAGTTTATTGGCACCCCTAGTAATTTGCCTATATGCAAATTGCTGCAGCCATGTTTATTTCAAAATCAGTGATTTCAAATTTGCCCCTCACTTCCACATGCTTAGAGAGAGCAGGGTCTGACGGTATGGCTGAGAGGGGGGCGGGGAAGAAAGGGCTGGAGGGGGGAAAAGTTAGGGGGGCAGAAGGCAAAGGGACCACCTGATCCCCCTAGATTTATTTTCCCTTCTGTAGCAGTGGGAGGGGGACAAACTCAAAGCAAACCTTCAATAATCAGATGCTATACCAGGAAAAGTATAGGAAATATATCAATTTTCCATATACAGACTCTAATTATTGGGGGGCTGTCTTATACCCAGATCTTCTATTCGAGTAACTATGGTATATATTATAAACATAACCTAAGGGAGTGACCATGGATTTATGAGTAGTATGTTGGATTAGGAATCAGTGGACCTGGGTTCTTTTCCTGCCCCTACCATTGATTTGCTTTTTGAGTTGGGGTAAGTTGCTTTGTCCCTTTCTGCCTCTGTTTCCTTATCTTCATATTGGAATAAAAATGCTTACTTTTCGTGGTAAAGTACTTTGAGGGGAATAAAAACATAAATGCTAAGTACTGTAAAGCAAGAGTTGTTAAAATGGATCAAAGATGAATCAGGACCTTTTGGATGCTATCAAATTTTAAAGTTCCCTCTTAATTTCCAAACCTTATTTCTTTTTAAAGTTTTAAGTGTTGCATACCTAGCATAATCTTGTTTTTACAAATATGTTTCATTTCAGACCAATATAATAAGGGTTGCTCTGGTAGAGAGAAGTTATGACTCCTAAAATGTTCTTTTCAGTTTACAATAAACCCAAATCCTCACAGATTTCAGTTAGGATGACCTGTCACTTATTTGTTTTAAGCTCTATTTGCCTTGTAAATTAAGTTTTTTGCTCCAGAGATCTTAGTAGCAGAGTGCTTTTTCAGCTTTTATTGTATAGGAAACCTTCTGAAGCTTAGCCATGTTGGGATTTGCTCTCAATACATAGGTTTATGAAATGTCAATGTTTAGAAGAGTCAGGACAAATGAATGAGAAATCGATAAGCCTGCAATAATACGAGAATATTTTATTCTGAGATTTCAGTCAGTTCTACTTAAATTTTACATGTTTGTAAACTTTATGCCACCAAGAATGTGCATGTGGCCTTGATGCATCTTATAATTCCATCTAGCATACCTGTACTTTCAAAATAAGTGTGCCATTATCAGATTAGTACTTAGTCTTATTGTTGTATGACTAATCAGAATTATAGTGACAAATTCCTCATGGTTAGCGTAATCTCACTATCTGTCCTCGGGTTGGTGTAATTCCATGTTCGCTGAAATGTGGCTGTTAAATTCTGTTCATTGCCTTTTGCAATTATATTCTATTATGATTTTACTTCCATTCTTCAATACTATTATTTCCCTTAGGATTCGTTTGGACACCCTAATGATATGAGGATAGGGGAACTTCGCCCTTCAATTGCTGAGACTCCTTTGTACCAACCTAAACTTGTTCTTCTCGGTAAAGAAAAAAAAGGTACTGTCTTGATTTTTAAACTTCTACATGAAGGTTTGTGTAATAAATATAAGTGCAGTAGATAAGCTTGAAGTGTAATACATCATCCTCTGAGGCGTTAGATATCATCCTCTGATTTATAGCAGTTTTACAAGTATGTGTTCATGGATATGCATGGTATCAGATTTCCTGAAAGTCTAGTGTTGAAATGTCCTCGTGCCAGATAATGCTTGTTTTATTTCAGAATCAACAGATGAGTCTGAAGCAGATAAGATCCATTGTCTGAATAACAGCGTTTCCTCAGGCACTTACTCAGACTATTCGCCATCCCAGGCTTCCTCAGGGTCCTCTAATGCTCGTGTTAAAATGGGATCCTTGCAGTCAACAGCTAAAGAGACAGTGAATAATGCTTTGTGGAGTAACAGGTGTGTTTCTGTTTATTGGGTGTGATTTTTCTGTTGTCTTCCAGCTTGGGTAGTCATATGTACTTGGGCAAAAGTTGGTCATAGAGGTTGACAAAAGCCAGTTTATGTACAGGTGTAGATAACTGCATGGGGTAGAGGCAGTGCACCATCAGGACTTCTGTTTTCTAAATGTCTATAGTCATATGCCTTTTTCAGGTACATATAATAACAACCTACTAAAAGCGCGCAGAAATAGAAACAGAATACAAGCTTTTCAGATAAAAGGCACAGATTGGGAATGGCAACTGAGGCGTGTTTGGCACAGTTTAGAATTGACAGAATATAAATAAATTATATTTATGCACCCTCCGTGCTGAGTTTCTCCTGTACCTCTGCACAAAGAAATCATCCAGAATTGTTTTAATTTAAACTGTCTGTCAACAGCCCAAAGAAATTATTCTAGCATCAGGGGATTGTCAGGGCAGAGCAATACCTATTAATGTCCTGTTTTGCCCAGCCACGTCCCTGCACTAGCATCAGCAAAGAAAGTAGCATAAGAGTAGCTATTATCAGTTCTGTGCTGCCCGGTTAGGTCCAACATCTTGGAAAATTTCCCCAAACAAGATAAACTGGCTTGAGAGAATCATTGCACTGCCACAGAGACACAATTTGCCCCACTGCACCCAAAGTCCAGGACCACTGTGCATCAGTTTTTCAGCAATTTCATTCATTATTGCCCAATTTGTTGAGTCAATATATCCAGATCTTTACTGGCATGAGCATTTTATTGCCCAATTCTTTTATATGTGTTCATCCACATTTCTTCAAAATATGGTATTTTTTGCATACAACACACTTTTCCCACAGAAAACAGCTGCTGGGAATTATAGTGCTCATGACATATGGAATACAGTTTCTGTCAATTATGGGGCAAAAGTGAAAGTAAAATATGCATGCCCTCCATGGGAAGCAAAAGAGTGAGCAGGCTCTGCTCTCTAGTTGCTGCTATTCCATTACTTACAACCAGGAAAGATCCTTTTTTCTTTATTCTGCCTTTCAAAACAAGGAACATATTTTATTTTGGTGTGAGTTGTTAGCAAGAAAATATGGTAAGTTGGGTGGGTTTTTTTAAACAAAACCAAAAAACCCAACCCCTTTCAGGTTGCAATGCTTAGAACACTCAGACTTTGGGAAATTCAGATTTACAGTTACCTGTACTGCAACCTTATCTGGTGATGTAACCTTACATATTCAGCTATTACACTGAATAGGACTGGAAGTCTTGGGGGGGAAAAATATGATTGTGTAATATAAAAAAAATATGATTGTGATGTTGGAAAAACTTCTTTACAACTAGGGTGTCTGGACTATGGAACAAGCTCCCCCCAAATGTGGTGCAGTCATCTACCCTAGAGGTCTTCAAGAGAAGACTGGATGGTCACCTAGCTGGGGTCATCTGACTCCAGATGTCTTTCCAGCTCATGCAGGGGCTGGACCCAGTGATCCTTCGGGGTCCCTTCCAGCCCTATGATTCTATGATTCTTTTATAATTCTAATTAAAAAGAGCATCATGATACATGTAGACAAGGATTGTGAGGGGCGGGGGGAGCTCAGCTGAACGATCACTACCCAACTGGAAGTTGAAGAATTTCCAAGTGTCTGTGTAGAGATGGAATGACTGGGGTCAGAAGACTGGGTCTGAGTGTTAAAGCGAGCTCAGTTTGACTCTCCTCCCCCCTCACATGGTGAGAGCTACTCTGTGGTCCCAGTGCAATATGTGCTACAGCTGCTTTTGCAGCAGTATGGGTCTCACTGTAGCATTTTCATATTTTGTTAATATATGGGCAGGCTTCCAAAATGTTCCCAAGCCATCTATTAGACAGAGAGGAATTTGGGGTCAGCAGTTTCTATCTCAGCAAAAATGAATTTACATAGGCTAAAAAAGACAATTCTCTTTGCTAAATTTCAGAGGTCTGATGCAAATAAAAATATTCTGAGAGTTTTTCAAAAAAATCATATGAATCTTTAAAAATGGAAAATAGTAGATAACCTTAAATACAAGGATTTCAATTAGTCCCTTCTTACTAAAAATGCAAATTGCGTAATCTGCTCTGCTTGCATGCAAAGTATCTTGGCTGTAAGGACACACAAATGCAGAAAATGGTGTGTGAAACATGTTTGCAAAAATTCAAATGTGAAAAACTTACTCCTGCACTGATTTTAAAAACTGGAATTGTAGCAGTAGGAAATAGGCTTTCTAGACTTAAACAGACAGCAGTAATTTGTCCATGTCTACTCTACCTTGGACTTTTGATCTTTTGCTTGTTTCTAGAGTTATATTCCCTGTATTCCAATTCAAAAAAGCCTACAGATGTATTCACTGTGAAGCACTAGCATAATTTCTACACATCACCATATAAGCCTAAAACTGTATATCAGAGAATACTAAGATGATTTGTAAGCATAGCATTCTGCTAATTGCTCACACATTGAAAAGAGGCCATATGTTCTTCATTTCATTTTATTTTTATTTTTTGCAGACTTGCACAGTCGTTTCCACAGCCTCTTGAAACAAAGCCATTACTCAGCCAGCGAGAGTCTGCTCCAGCAGGAAACCTGCAGCAACGCAATGATCGGCGACCAATGAGTGACACATTCCCTGATAGCTGGAATGATGGTTCACATTATGACAACACAGGGTTTGTTGCAGAGGAGAGCACAATGGAAAATTCTGGCACTAACCCTCTCTTAAGCTCTAAATCTAGAAGCACATCTGCTCATGGACGCAGGCCTTTAATTAGACAGGACAGGATAGTTGGCATTCCCCTGGAACTTGAACAACCTACACTCAGAAACACACCTGACTCAGAAGTGCCTCCTCCCAATCCTTGGCAAAATTGGACCAGAACTCCTAGTCCTTTTGAAGACAGGACAGCTTTTCCTTCTAAATTGGAGAGCACCCCCACCACCAGCCCTTTGCCTGAAAGGAAAGATCACATTAAAGAATCTCCTGAAATAACTAGCACTTTTTCTCCAGGAATACCATGGGAATATCACGATTCAAATGCTAACAGAAGTCTTAGTAATGTCTTTTCACATATTCATTGTCGTCCAGAGCCTTCTAAAAGCATTATTTCAATCAGCAAGAGTACAGAGAGGCTTTCTCCAATGATGAGAGAATTAAAAACTAATAAATTTAAGAAGTCACAGAGTATTGATGAGATAGACATTGGTGCATATAAAGTTTATAATATACCATTAGAGAACTATGCATCCAGTAATGATGCTACCGGCATGCATGAAAGACCAGACAAAATGATAGGACAGGAACATGGTATGTCTAGTATGTCTCGTAGCCAGTCGGTACCAATGCTAGATGATGAGTTGCTGAATTATGGAAGTGTGAAGGTACAGCAGCAGCAAAAGCCTTCTGTGACAAAAAAAGTGTATCAGTTTGACCAAAGCTTCAATCCTCAAGGAGCCGTGGAAGTTAAAGCAGAAAAGAGGCTACCACCACCATTTCAACACAATCCTGAATATGTTCCCCAGCAAAGTAAAAACATTACCCAGGATTTGATTAGTCCGAGAGCTTATAGAGGATACCCCCCCATGGAGCACATGTTTTCATTCTCCCAGCCTTCAGTTAATGAGGAGGTTGTGAACGCTCAGTTCTCAAGCCAGGGGTCAAGGTCAGGATTTTTGAGAAGAGCAGATTCATTGGCAAGTTCCACTGAAATGTCAATGTTTAGAAGAGTCAGTGAACCTCATGAACTGCCTCAGAGTGATAGGTATAGCAGACCTCAGTATAGAGGAGCTATGGAACGCCAAAGCAGCATCTCAGTGTCTGAATCTCAGTTCCTCAAAAGGAATGGCAGGTATGAAGATGAACACCCTTCATATCAAGAAGTGAAAGCCCAGTCTGGAAGTTTTCCAGTTAAAAACCTTACCCAAAGGAGGCCATTGTCTGCAAGAAGCTACAGTACAGAGAGTTATGGTACATCCCAAACCAGGCCAGTTTCAGCTAGGCCTACAATGGCAGCTCTATTGGAAAAGATACCATCTGACTATAACTTGGGTAACTATGGTGACAAGCCGTCAGATAACAGTGATATAAAGACAAGGCCCACCCCTGTGAAGGGAAATGAGAGCTGTGCTAAAATGCCTGCTGACTGGAGACAACAGCTACTTAGACATATAGAAGCTAGAAGGTTAGACAGGGTATGTTTGGCATTTCTCTGCAATTAATGCCTTTAGTTTTGTGTGTTGATATTTCAAAGTATGTGCACGAACATTGGTTAATATCAGAATTTCCTATAATGAAATTCCATGTATTTGTGTTGGGGGAGGGGAGGGCGCTATGAAGGGTTTTTCTTGGCATATAGTTAGTGTCAATGGTTCTTGGATAGATGTATTAGAGAGGCTTTGTCTAAAAGCAGTTGATGTAAAACATCTGTTACTGTGCATATTCTTCAGTTAGCTATTGTTGTGGCACTGTCTGGAACACTAAAACCAAAACCTCTACCACAAGACAGCGTTAGCCATGATAAAGGGATCTGAAGGAAACAAGAAAGCCTTGGTGAGACAACAATGCAAGTTTAAACTCAACTCTTCTTATTTTCCAGAAAAGTAATTACAGTATTTAACTCGTTGGTTTTTTAAATATATGGGAAGAATTTTTAAACCATACCAGAAACTGGAGATAAGATGGACAGTGAATGATCTGGGTAGAGATACTGTCAGAATAAACCTAACAATTTAGGTATCTGGATCTGGTAGAAAGTAAATCATTTTTTAATTTCTGAATCCAGGTCACAAGAAAGGGTGCGTTTCTGGCATGTCCCAGAATGGTATCAGTAGCCAATGATTTCATATCCTAACTTAGTTTGTTGTTTTGTTACTTTAAATTTAGTGAGCCTATTTTATCCCACAACTGATCATATCCCATCAGTTATGCCAAGTTTAACTGAGATAAAAATTATACCTATTGTTACAAAAATACTTTAAAATGTAATTATTTAGGGTCTGTTATTAAATATATTGTCCAACTAGGTATTACAGTTCAGACCAGAACAAGCAAACTATAATAGTTCCAAGCAGAATAAGTCTTTCTCTACTATTTTAAATTAATTGTTTTTTTAAATGATGTCTGCCTTATTTTACATTCCCAGACTACCTGAAGCCAGCTTTAATCCCATCCTTTTAGGCACAGTTTGGGTGTGTTTACATATTCCTCAGGGTGGGAAGTGGGTGCTTTAATTAGAGCTGCTCTTAGGAGCCACTGTAATTAAAGTGCCTGCAGTATCTCATGCGTTCAGCATCCCACGCTTAAAAATGGTGCTGGGGGCACTTTAATTAAAACTCAATGAGCTTTAGTTAAAGTGCCCCTGCCGCCATCTTGAAGCATGGGGGTACTGAATGCATGTGACTCCAGGCTGCTGTAGTGTGCTAATTAGCATGTACCGGAGCAGGCATTGGGCATGTGTGTAGGTGTCCTTTATAACCAAATAATCATTCTCACTTTCAGTTGAAAGGACCCTTGAGAAAGGAAGTAAAAGTGCTCTGTGGCATGCGGTGGCCAGCATGCCACAGAGCACTGTTAAAGAAATGCCAGGCAAACCAAGAAATTTAAAATTGTTTTTTCTTCCCTTAAAACCTGTTTATTAACTCTTTAATCCAGTCCAGCTGCTAAACTATGCAAGCTGATTTTATTTTACTTAAGAATATAAATTATGAGTATTGTATAAGTTCCCTGTTCAGATTTGTAACTACAGGGGGTCCTGGTTCATGTTGTAGGTTTGTACTGTAGGAAAAAAAATTAAAAAGCACTTAGATTGCAGTATAAATGCCAGAACATTTGTGCACATCTCTACATCCTCCAAGACCCAGGGCTTTTCTCAGGTCAGGAGTGACTCTCAGCAAACGTTATACAGCCACTTGAGCAGTGATTCTCAATGTGGCACTGTTAGGTGTGCAAACATCTACACAAGATTCAGAAGTTAAACCCAGAGATTTCAAATAGGAATCCAGAGTGTCAAAAGCATTCTGACCTGCTGTGGCCTTTCTGAGTTTTTGCAACTGAAGAATTCCTCAATTATTTTTCTGTAGTTAAACACACTAGTAAAAACTAAGAGCTGGCATTTTCTCCAAAGTGCCTTGAGTCTAAAAATGTTGAGAGCCACTGCCCTAGATAAGTTGTCTAAAGGCTAACGCACAATCTTCCAGAGTCTCCTTATGGACCTTTCCCTTATATTATCTTGTTTCCAAACCCACAAATCTCCTCTGCTGGGGCTTGTAAGATGTAGAGCATAAGGCTATCTAGGGAATTCTTCTGAGTCCCCATAATGGTGCCTTTCAGTCCTTATATGCTGCTGGGACAGAAGGAGAATCTGATCCTGAAGTACTGCCCAGTTCTTTGTTCAGTTGAAAGAAACTAGGACCAGTTCTCACTAAAGTCTGACCATGTGAATAATGAGTAGTTAAATCTGAATGGAAACTTCTGCATCTGCCTACCTGCCTCATCTCCAAACCCAAGTTTTCTGGGCTGCTATGAAGTTTGATTTTCAGACTGAAGGTACATTATCTCCTTCCCAGAGAGGCTCAGGCATTGCAGAATCTTGGCTGCCAGACCGGGACTAGTGTATGGAGGTTTCCTTTGATATATGCCTCCCAGGCTGCCTCTTGTTCTTGAATTTGAAGGAATTTCATTATTTCTCAGCGTTTAGAGGACACACTTTTTTTTTCAATACTCCTAGTTCAGTTTCAAAAGGAAAGTTTTAGCTTTAAAGTAGCGCAGATATTTGAAAAGCACGGCAGGTGGGATGGAGGAGGGAAGCGGGACTTGCTAGCTTACACGTCAAAGAGTATCTGCTTTAAAAATAAAATCAGTTTTTTTTTTAAAGATTATATTATGTTTCTCTTCTTCCTTTATTTCTTACTCTAACTAATATAAAAGTAGCTGTATTAGGAGAGAGAGCCATATAAATAGGATAATTTTGTAATTACAAGTCACATTTGTGCTCATTTACAGAAGTATAATTTTGGGCAGATTTTGGTTCCCAGTTGTAATGTAATCATCATGATTAATTGAGGTTTTAAGTATGGACATAATACCACAAATAAAAAAGCCCTTACCGCTGAAAACAGCTTTTAACAAGAAATGGTCAGGAATGGATTTTTTATCCTGTGAAAAAGATGGCAAGGTTTGAGAAATCCTGAATTGGGTGAAAAGCCAAGTTCCAATTTTTATTCACAACACAAAATTCTGAATAATTCTCATTTCATTAAATGTTTTGCTTTGATGTTGACCCTTTATTGTTATATACAAAAAAATCAAAAGTAATTTTAAAACAAAAATTAAAAACATTTAAAAGTATTTTTTCCAATTTTCTACAACAAATGTTTATTATCAGCATTATAATTTCCTAAAATCATTGGTTCTGTTGAAACGGAATTTTTCAGTGAAAAATTTGCAACAAAAGTCTTCAGCTCGGCTCTACTTTTGACGAACATTGATCAAAACTATATGAAATATTTAAACGGTCCTGATTTTGCAAACGTTTTAAAATACAGGTTTGGCATGGGAGTGCCTTTCAGACGTTTTCATGTGTGACTACTAATGTGCACTGTTCATAGAAACTCTGAGCAGTTTAATTTTTTATATTTCAGGAATCTTTACCAATAATGGAATCCACTAATAGTTTAGTTTCAAATGATGTGGATATGCTGCTGAAACCTACCATTTCAGTAGTGCTTGGAAAAGATTAAGATGTTTTGGATACTCCTGACAGTAGCATATCTTGAGCATAACATCCCTTAAAAATAAAATCACAAGTAAATAGCAAAAGTGTGTTCTAGCCCTTGTTGATATTTTGGGGAAAAGTAGGTTTATATTTTTGAAATGGTTCCATTGGGTCCACGTACACAATTCTTTATCAAAGTGATTATTATTGTTATGGCTACTGAATTGTAGAAAAAGAATGTTTGCTTTCCATACAAACTATAGCACAGAATCTCTGTTATAATGGTTTCTATACAGCCAGAAATCCACTTAATAATATCCAAAGTGGCTTTGAAAAACTGCCTTGATCTGACGCATAAATTGTCTGTATTTTACAACAATGTAGGTATATTTTAATAGCTCTGAAGTCAAGAAATTGCTATTCAGTTTTTTAAAAAATCATCCATGTTAAAAATAACATTAAGGATCAAATGGGCAAACAGTTTAGCTTTAATACCAGAACTTCTTCCTCGTTTCAGTTTCTGTACTTGTGGTATATGAATTACTCCTTTTCTTTTCCTTTCTTTCTTTTTTCTTTTTTTTTTTTTCTTTGAGAACACACCATAACCAATCAAAATAGAGCAGGTTAAAGGTAGAATTTCAGGGTGAACTTTATATTTTCTTGAATTTTCTGGATTAAGACATGTCTTTGTAATTATATTTATGTTTGTTTAAAACATATGTAAGGCCTACTGTGAAGATTCAGATTGATAAAATTAGTCTCATACTGATTTCTGCAATTGCAAGCAATCGAGTCTATAATCTGTTCACAAAATACAGTAAGAAACAGCCCAAGACATAGGTCTGACTGATGAAAATCTTCAGACTGAGCTAATACAGGAAACAGCCAGGATTGAATCCGACCAGGTGATCCTGTTGTGTATAACTTTGGTCCAGGTAGTCCATGTAGAGCACAGATCCATTTGCTATGTGTCTGGGCTACCTTTAGTCTTCTCCTCCACAGAGACCTGCCAGAGGCTCAACTGCACTGCAAACAGGATGATGCAGAGTCCTCTGGTATGGCTTTTCCCCTGCTATTACTGGTAATTCCCTTGCATATCAGTTACTGATTGTGGGCCACCTGTGGATGTACAAGGCTTACCAGGCTTTGGCTCCACATACCTTCCAAGGGCGGTGGTGCTGGCCCCTACCCTGGGGATCTTTAAGAAGAGGCTGGATACTTACCTGGCTAGACTCATTTGAGTCCCGTTTTTGTTTTTAGGGTGAGTTTTTTTTGGGTTGTTCTCCCGCCCTGGCGGGGGGTCGGGCTAGAAGATCTATCCCTTCCGACCCTGAAACTATGAAACTATGAAATACCAAAAAAAAAAAAAAGAGAAAAAGATATTTGTACTGTACTAGATATCAGTTTTCAAGCTATAGGTCTAAAATGTTTGCTGTCAAGTGTTGTAGTCTTTTTTTATGGTATTCGTTTTATGTATAATTAGCACTGTATTTGCTTCTGTCCAGCCAAGTGCATGCATCTAAAAGCTGTTTATTTCTTGGTATTGTTTGTCTGCGTAAATGAAAATGTTGTGAAATTAACCATATATATGTGATATTTAACTCAATTAGCATGTGTGTTCATACCCTGTCACGTGGTTGTTTCCTCTACTCAGACCGCTGCTTACAAACACAACACTGTTAACCTTGGCATGCTGCACTCTGGAGGTTTGTCAGCAATGCATGCAGGCAGAAGCATGACTTTAAACTTGCAGACTAAATCTAAATTTGAAAACCAAATGCATCAAGAGCTACCTCTACCGAAAGTAAGTATGGGATAGCCAGCATAAAATAGCATCACAGAAAAATAATTAATAATCCTCTTTGCTCTTTCCTGTTTTATCTTCTGTGTATTATTCATGCTTTTTCCCTCTAAGCAATCCAAAAAGCAAATATGCTAATAACATATTTAATAACATTGCTTTTTGGATTAATTAGCTCACCTGGCTGTCATTGCTGCTTTCTGCTCTTGTGTTGCAGACTGATGTGATCATTATGTTATCCTGATGATACATTTGGGTTATAAAACTGGGAAACATATTTCATGTTGTAGATCAGGAAGGAGCTGGTCCATGCAGCTGTATGACCCAGCCTGTGGGTCCTTGGACCAACCCTATTCGTTGACCCCAGCACTGGGCTCACTGCACATAGCACGGGTCAGTCTGGAGTGTGTGCTTCCTGTAGCACCCACACTGGACCAGTTCTGCACGCTGGCTCTGGGCCAGTCCAGATCAGACTGTACCAGAACCAACACTCGGGATTGGTTCAGCCGGGTGCTGCATATAGCCCTTGCCCAAGACTGACCCCCTGTGGTGCGTGCAGCACTGGGTTCAGCCTGCGTGCTACATGGCATGCAATCCCCAGAGGAATGCTGGCACATGCTGCATGTGCCTCACAGGCTGGACTCAGTGCTTCAAGCACTGCACACAACATGGGTCAATCCTGATCTGGCCCGCAGACCAGCCCAGCAACCCACATCTGGCCCACAGAGCCAGATAAATTTGACTCTCATGGTATAGATGATTAATCATAGGAAAGGTGCGGTAGGAATGTTTAAGACCTGCATTTGGAGGAGTCAGGGTTTTCCAGGCTTGGACTGTAATCTGATATGCTTTAATCACTGATAAACTTTGGGCACATACTGGCTACAATTACAATCCTTTTACATTTGATTTTTAGTAATAATTATTTAAAGAATTAAAATACTGTTCTTAAACTATATATGTGTGAAATGTTTATGTATGTGTAAGTACATGCACATGCATACACATATAAACACTTATTAATGTATGTGTCATATACAAAAGTGCATGTCAGAGTGTGGCACGATCCATTAAAATCTTGCAGGACATATTAATAGCATGATTGAGAAAGTTCTTAATTTTTAAGGCGTGTGAATAGTTTGAAGTCAAAATGTGAATCGGTTTTGATATGTAATTCAAAACAGTCTTGTCATTTTTGCATTTGTATATGACATCAGTGGAACTATTCACATGCTTTAAATTACACATGTGTTTTTATATCTTGAGAAATTAAAGCCAACCAGTCTGATCTAGCTTTAGTAAATATAGTATAGTCCATCCCCTAGCAAACAAACCTAGTGTCATTTTAACAGTAAAAATGCAGGCATCACTTTAACACGTTTTCCCTTCCAAATGATGTTAGGCTAGAAATAGGTGTAGCCAAATGTAGCTGGAATGCATCTCAGCACAGTTGATCTGTCTCACTGGGTGAAACACACTGTCCATTGTTCTGCCTGTTGATCTTATGGGACAACAGGTGACGTTTACCCTGCTTACAGAGACAGGCCCTGGGACTGCACCAGTGCGAGTTGGTCATTCTGTGGTCCCAGGGCTGGGACCACCAGTCTGCTTGATTGGCAATCTCATCCCTGGGACCACACAAGAGTATTAATGGGCACTGGGGAATCCCAATCACAATGATTTAGGCAGGCACTTCCAGGGCTTCAGGAGCCTGATCCTGCTTTAGATTTTAATTCCCATTCCTGGGGTATACAGGATGCCCTAGGAGTGCGTGCCCAGGGTGTCTGGGGAGCATGGGAAGCTCTGGACTGGCTGCGCCCTCCCACCATAGACCTAATAAATGTCTACTGCAATAAAGTGGCACAAATTGATCCTACCTCTGTTGTGGCCACACATTTAGGGCATTTGTGGTGTGACAAAGGTTATAGATGTCTGTCTGCTTGGCCTACATCCATCTTCACCCTGTTCCATATGCATCCTGCACTCTTCTTTTTCAAAGTTCTGCAAGCCTTCACGTTTGTGTTTTTGCTTTTCCAGGGTAGCTAAATTACTGACAGCCACACTGGTGTCTTAAATATTGATATATACATGTTCAGGATAAAAAAGCTTTCCAGCATTAGACATTACATTTTCTTTTTAAGAATGTGATTTATTAATTTTTGTTCCAGGTCTTTGCCAGGAATATTTTTGTCATGTGAATTCTAAAAAGTGTTACTGTTTGTGCAAGTGTATCTCTGAATAAGATATTGTATATGTCATACATTTCAAGAATTTTAAGTCACATGGTATGTTTGACTTTGATATCGACAGAAACAAGCAATTGCATGCTGGTGATATCTGGCACTGGGTATTCAGTCATAAGTCCAAAAAAGGAATCTCAAACTATTACTTTAATTTTGACCCCCAATACATGCTACACTTAAGATGCGATTAACTAGCTAATCACATCTGACGTAGTGACCTGCCCATGCATTGAGTCACGTCATGGCATGATATAATGAGGAATAAGCCACAAAGTTATTACCCATATTTTGTGTAATAACTTTGTGGCTGGTTCCTATCATGCCCTTAATTGAATGTGTGGCTAGTGCCCAACCTCTGGAGCATATGGACACATTTCAAGACTCCTGTATGCTGCAGAGTCTGGGAGGTCCCCTCAGCTGATCTGGTTAGAATTCAGGTCAGTTGACAGGGCTCCCCCCGAAGGAGTGCATGGTGTGCTACTGTAGCTGGTAGCCAAGCTTGCTACTTGCTGGTGCAGGAGGAGTTTAGGATTAGGCTCCTCCCCCCACACCAGCAATATGGCATGATGGTATATGATGAGGAATTCAACAGTCATGCCTCCTGCTATGCACTTGTAGCATGGCAGAAAGTGTAATTGTTGGGGTCTCATGGCAGATGCCATTGCACCCTTACTTTAACATCTGTCAGGGGCCTAATTTTGCTTCTGCCTCCATGTTCTCACAGAGTGCTAAATGCCAGTATAAAATCTCATTAGAATTTCATAGATTTCTCGAGTTGCTATTTCTTCCCTTGTTCTAGGAAGTGTTGGAAGGTTTTGCATTTCTACCAGATGCATTTGTTGCAGATGTATGTAAATTTTGAGCTTAAGTACAAAACTACAGGTTGTCTTGAGGTACTTTTGAGATCATTGAAAGGTGTCTCCTAGGGCTTGTCTACAAGAGTATCGTGGAATCAAAAAAAATTATTCAGCTTTTATTAGAAAATAAGTATTAAATAAGTAGAACATCAATAAGAAATAAATGGGTATTTTGGAGTTCTCATAATTGCTGTGCATACCACATAGAGGTTAAGATTGCTTCAAGGTATCCATATTTCTTTTCTGGAAACAGAACAGCTATGGGTGGACCATGTAGTAAAGCATGTAGATTTAATAAATTTGGCAGGTTTTGTTTTGTCGGTAACTTAGTCAAGAATTTTTTCTCGCTGTTATACTTCTTAAAATGAACTTATTTCATTTTGTAGACATCTCCCGATTGAGGTAGATTAAAACAAAAACACCACATATGTAAATATCCACAATATTTTATTTGATTCTTCTTAATTTTCCATTTTCCATTTGACTACATACCTGGAGTGACACACACACTTTTCAGGAAGAGCAGACGCATTCTAACTTTAAACAGTACTGTGCTTAAGTTACTAGACTTCAAAGATTGCCTGGTGCAATCTTTGTTTAGTACAAATAAGGACAGAAGCACACAGAAGCAAAATTATTCCTCCTATATGGAGATGAAGCAGATTGCTTGTCCTTGAAAGCACATTCAGTGTCAGGAATAACCTGACACCTAATATTATTAACTAAGTGGGAACAGCTTGACAAATTTAGGATCTCTAGAAATGGGGGTTTTGAAACAGGAAAAGGTACCAGGACCCCAGTCCTTTACACACAAGCATAGCCATACAAGGAGGGAAGCTTGTTTTCTCCAAAAATCGCCATACCCTACACTTACTACAGCAGTCTAACAACATTGAGCATTTTTACATGTGCTTCGGGGGTGGGGGAGAGCGCTTTAATTAGAGCGGCTCTGAGGACAGCTCTAACTAAAGTGCCTGAAGCATCTCCTGTACCATGCACTTCAAAATGACAGTGGGAGCCCTTTAAAACTCATCAAATGAGCTTTAGTTAAAGCACCCTGCTGCTATTTTGAAGCTTGGGGACATTGATACATGAGATGCGAAGGCTGACTGGAGATTAATCAAGTCTGCTCCAGTATGCTGAAATTACAGCACGTTGGAGCAGCCACAGGCATGCATTGACTTGAATGGGATACTGATCTCCACTGATGAAAGAGCATGCTGGATATGATTTTTCCAAGCCATGATGCCTTCAGGTAACACCAGTTGGATGGTTCACCTTATTTATTCCCTGTAGCATGACTCAGATAAGTCATAACTGAAGTCTAATAGTCTAGTGGTAGCTCAGGGAATCCAAGAAAGCAATTAGAGATGTGGGTATCTTATTAAATGTAGTCTATTCCATCAATAAAAATTTGAACTGCTGGTTCTCATTTTTTATCCAGATTTACTAGGTGTATAACTTTTATTCATGTGCAGTTATCCAACCTCTGCCAAATGAATAACTTTACAAGCAGCCTAATTCATTTTATTGAAGAAAATGAAAAGAACAATCATCATAGATTTTTCCTCTTTTATATATAAAACAGTAAGGGGCCTCTGCATTTTTTTCTGCAGCCTTAAATCACTTCTACAATTATAGTCTCTCTCTTATAAAAATGGCACAGCATTCTCTTGAGTGACAAAAGGCATGTCTTTTAGAAGAATGCCTTCAATCCCTAGCATTTACATCAGAATTCTTTTTAACAATGTATGGATTAACTGCAATGTGAGAAGTATGTATTACGGTCCCTCTATAGAAGCAATCAAAACCCCCAGATATTATGTTACTCTGGAAGAAAAAAGGATTTCACAGGAAGCTACATCAGCCATCCACATGCTCTTGTATAATGCACACATTTTTGAATGACAGCCCTAGAGATTTCAGTCTGAAGGACTGGCAGAGATTAGTTGCATCACAGGGATGATGCACTTGGTTTTCTCTGAGTGTTTGTTTGTGTTAATTTTCAGAACAAAGATCATGTTGTGGCAAATTTTCATTTCCAGTGTTCTTCACTGGAATTATTTCACAAGGCGCACCTTTCACTTCCTTTGTTATTCCAAGTGAACGGTAATTATGAAGGAAACTAAGAAACTTAGTAGGGAATACTGATAGTATTCAAATACCTAAATATACACATACCAAAAAAATAATGGCCTAGGTTCTCAGCAGCAGGCTAAGGAACACTCAGTGTTGCTTGGCAGTGAACTAAAAAGCCATGCTTACATTCTCCTGATCTTGAGAAACCCAGATTTAAGAGAGTCACAGCCATGTACCCATCTTCCCAGCTATGAATCCAGGCTAGCAGAAGTTACGGTAGCGGGGTGGCACCTGCAGATCCTCCATATTGTAGAAATTCTCCTATGGTTGAATCTGCCAGCTTTAGGATAGAACTGTGCTATGGGGCTGTACGAACTACACAACCACACTAGAAAATTGGACCAATATTTACGAGCAATTGATTTTTCAAATGAAAGCTAAATTTTTGCCTTTTTAATAAAATATAAAGAAAACTTGAAGGAGTCAGAGTGTTTTTGAGCAGAAGGGATATTTAGCTTTTGAGGGGGGTTTTCCCCTTAAAACACCAGGATTTTTTTTCTTCATTCTGATGGGAGGACTCCTTGGAGAACCAGAGAACTGGAGTAAGAGCTTTCTCAGATTGCAGTTAGAAATGGGTTGCATTGCTTCTTTAATAAAGAGGGATTTTTTTTCCTCAGGTACTTGTGAGAAATTTGATTTAAATCAGTATTTTAAAAAACCCAAGAGATTGAAATAGTCTGGGTAAAAGTTTTGTCTTAATTGTCTAATGTGCAGTCTCTTTCAGTCACCTGAAGGTTTTCATCATAAAAAACATGGTAGGCCGGGCTGGATCTTTCTAATAGAAGAAGTATTTATATTTAAACTAAAGAAACAATTTTACAAATCACAAACCAGACATGACACATTCCCTTCTGGGTCAACATTAATTGAAACTAAATAAACAGTTAATGCTAAGAAATGTCAGTAATGCTGCTATGAGGCATTTTGAAAGGATTACAACAAGAACCTACATGAATAAAAAAATATTAATTCTAACTTTAAAAATGTATATTGAGAAAAAATGGAAAATTTAGTCAGATTGAAGTACAAGACACTAAGCGTACCATTTTGCTGAAAAAAAAAGATGTAAAATCACTAGCAAAAGTGATCAATAAGCCTGGAAAATTAAAAAAGAGGAAGTATGACTCCTGTTCAGGAATACATTTAAACATCGACTTAAATTCATTTCTGTCAGCAATGTATGAACATATGTGCCTAATTTTAAACATGTACTTGAATCCTATTGATTTCACCAAAACTTGGATATATGCTTAAGTGCTTTTTTTAAGTTGGGGGTGTAAGAGGTAGTACACAGCACCCAGTGTAATGCAGAGGGTAATTCAGAGTGGAATGGCTGTAACTTGAATATTGTCAATATTCAGTAGAACCTTTGAAAGAATGTATTCCAAGCTTTTCATTTCTTAGTGATGTTACTTACCATGGGAAGGTATTTTAGTTTATATTTTTCAGTGCTTTATTTTAACTTAAAATTTGTGGTAGATATTTATAGAGTTGCAGTTTTACAACAAATACTTTGTTTAACATATTAGCTTGGACCAATATTTACTTTTCAGTGAATTAAGCTTTTGTTCAATTAATTTTCTCACTTTTCTTATTATTGCCAAGATTCTCAATGAGCATCCAAGTATCTACCACTTGCAATAAGGTCAATAGACAGCAGTGCTACCAACACTACAGCAGTCACATAGTTCTAGTGCATAATAAATACAGGGATAAAAGCTAAAATGATTTCCATTCTAATTGACATGTTTTGCAATTGAATGGTGTTGATTTTTTGAATAATTATTAAATGGTGATTTGCACAGCAGTCTCACAAGGCACTAAAGAATACCCTACCATTTTCACAATAGACCCCATCGCAGCAAAGCAACATCCTAGACAATGGACAAGAAGATATTTCTGCTAGTAGCCAATGGAATCCGTACCCACTTGGAAGACGGGATGTGCCACCAGAAACTATCACTAAAAAAGTAAGCAACATCAACATGACTCCGTAAAAGTGGACTCTGGTATACTAACAGTTTTTTCCTTCCCTAGTGAAAATAATTGGTTTCAATAGGAACAGGATTGGGTACAGTATATTTGTAGGCTTAAAATTAGGCTTTAAATGATTTGGAAATCAATAATCCGTTCAAATTAAGGTGCATATTTTCAGGCCCAATTGCAGTTGCTTTTTTGGGGAGAGGGGGTTGAGCTCTTTGCACATTATATATCTGCACATTAATTATATCTGCAAAAATCAATGCAATGTTTTGAATGAGTAGCCATACACAGATCTCTCACATACGCAAAACATTGATACACCTATTTTTTCAGGTACAATAATTTAACATAAGAATTACTATGTAGAAATAGAAACTAGCTCAATGCCAGCTGAAAATTTGACCATTGACGATAAACTACTCAGATTTAATAAGTTTTCATAAAACATAAGAACAAAGTATAATATTTTAAAATAAATTTTAAAAGATGCAGCAGTAATAAATTGTTCAGTATTAAATTGTTAAACTGGCTCTGTTCATTTGATAGTCAAAGAAGTCACATCAGTGGAAGTGAGTAAAACTGTGTTGAGTGAGTTAAGGCCAAAAGACAGAATGAACTTGTTGACCAGTTGCATGGTAATTTTACCATGCAATGGATTGTGCTGAAAATGCTATTAACATGATAATTACACTGTAAGTACATACTAAATATACAGTTGTTTCCATCTTCTTAGCTATGCAGAGTAGGTTAAAACCCACTTATTTTGGATGTAAATGTGATAATTTATTCAATGAGTAATCTGTATAATAACAGCTGGAGAAGACCATATTTAGTCTGGAGAGGAGGAGGTTGAGGGGGGGATTTGATAACAATCTTCAAATACCTAAAGGGCAGTTAGAAATAGGATGGAGATGGGCTTTTCTCTGTGGCTGTAAGGGACAGATGCAATGGCCTCAAACTGCACCAGAGGAAATTTAGATTAGAAATTAGGAAAAAGATTTTAAACTACAAGGATAGCCAAGGATTGGAACAGCATGCCTAGAGAATTTGTGGACTCCATCCCTGGGCATTTTAAAGAGCAGATTAGACAGATACTTGGCTGGGATAGTTTAGTCAGGAAGGATCCTGCCTTGAGCAGGGTGCTTGACTAGATGGCAAGATGCCTTACTTCCTTATGATCCTAATATTTCCTAATAACCTAATATTTCCCTGAAAGGATGGCTGCTTTTCTCCTTTTAACTTGGAATGGTGTTCTAACATGGTATAGCAAAGTGGTGACTTCTGTATGGCATGGTGGGAGGAGCACGTGGTGCAGCGTGGTACAGACAGAGGGGACAAGCCTGTGGTGCAGTGTGTGGCCTGTGGGCATGCAGCGCCACATGATGCATCCACTCAGAAGTTGGACAGCCCTGTGCAAGACCATTCAGCAGATTTCTGCCTCTGAGGCAGGCAACGCAAGTGCTCTGAAGTCCTGTGCAGGATGTCTTCGGACCACATTTGGGACATAACTTGAAACAGATACAGTGCTGCTCATTTTCAAACACAGGTTCTGATCAGCTGGCAGCTGTTTAGTGGCATAATTTAATCTGGTGAGGATCTGGTTACTTATCATTAAACCAGGCAACCAGTAGATCTGAGGTCCCTTTCTGGCTTTATTGTTCTAATGTGATCTTATACAAATCACTTAAATTCTCTTTGAGTCTCAGTTTTCCAAGCTGTACAAGGAAATGTTAGTAATACCTACCTCACAACAATGTTGTGAAAATGAGTTAATCTATTTCTATAAAGAGTTTTCATATCCTCAGATGGAAGGGTTTTTTTCTTCCCCTTTATTTTTTTCAATAACTGCCATGTGATAGTTAGAAATTGAAGCATTCAAAATCCTCTTCTCTTTCTCAGTTGTTATAGTATCACTTTGAAACTGTATCTCTCTCTCAATAAAATATGGAATTGTTGATATTTAAAGTCAACGGGATTTGGTATAGACCATTCACGAAAAAAGTAGTGAAAATAGAAAGAAGATGCAGTATTCAATTCTTAACGGTCCCTGTTAATGCCACACAGGTGGTATTAGCAAGATGAATGGGTCCAGCTGTATCTATTTTAATGATGTGTTACGGTGAGGTATGTAGAAAATACATTGGGATGTATTTTTGGCTCTGATAATGAGCATATTAGCTGTCAGAACTGTTAAAGAGATGATTAGCTAATGAATGGGAGATATTTTATTTTTGTGATGACAACTTCTCCTTAAAAAAGTGTCCATCATATGTTTTTACAAATGATGACTTTTCAATCAGTTATCATTCATAGATATTTTTCCCTTTTGGCCACTATAGACATAGTTTTAGTGTATTTACTTCTACTAGTTCTTTGCTTTAGACCTAAGGACTACAAGGGATTGTGCCATTGTTCAATATTAATATCTTCAGATGACACAGTCCTGTAGGCCAGCCTGATATGGCCAAAGAAACTGAACAGCTTCTTTATATGTATGGATTAGGAACATCTAACAAACCTAGCATAAATTGTTGAGTTTGTGCTCTGAAGATGGCCAGTAAGAGAGCATTGTGATGTTTCATGGTGGTAGTAATAGCTTAGTATCCCTTGAAATGTTCATTTTACTCTTTACTTTATGGCTAAGTTGCATGCAATTATTAATAAGAAACATTAGTTCAATCTTGTTAGGAAATGTATAAATTTATTTTCAATTAATTTATTTTTAAATATGTGACTCAAGTATGAATGTAATTTATATGAATGAACAGAAATGTATATTGAAAAGTAAGCAAGTGTGCAACTTTACCATGTCAAGAATAGAGTAATGTACAAGCAAACCACATCTGTTAGGTCAGTCTAACTGAAAATATGAAAGACATCAAGGACTAAATAATTTAATCAGTGGCTCATCCCCTCTCTGATAGATATCAAAATGCTAAAGCAACATAAATTAAGTTCTCCCCATATTTTTTGAAATAATCAAATTACTAAATTATATGCTACTATGATTCTTACCTGTTGCTAAATGTACGGTCATGGTCTTTCTTGGGACAATTCCTTGACCATAGCTAATCCACTAGGCTTTTGTCAGCCTACGATATAAATAAAAAGAGGGTTTTGCTACATAATTCTCACATAGTGAAACTCTATGGCCAATATTTATATTTGTGGAAAATTGTATACATTTCACCAGAATGAAGAACTTAATACTCAGCATTTTTATAATGTGCTTCAAAGACTAATCCATCTTATTTAATTGTTATATGTTTTTACTTCAAGAGATTTCTGAACAGAAACATATAACGTGACAAAAGGAACAAAATATTTTCCTTTCATGAAACACATGTTATTCATTTGATCTCCCTTTACAAATCCTTGCTGTTTTTAATCATGGTTGTTTCCAACTGTAGTCAAAAGGCAAACCTCTGACATTTGATTTAAGAGGTTTGCTTTTACTTGACTGTGTAAGTTGTAATAATTGCTTCTTTTCAGCTTCCTGAATTTCTGGCCTAACGGGTTACGTTACCCACAGGCAGGTAGCCATATCCAGACTTTGATGGGATCACAAAGTCTACAGCATCGGAGCCGAGAGCAGCAGTATGAGGGAAACATGAATAAAGTGACTATTCAGCAGTTTCAGCCACCACTGCCTATTCAAATCCCTTCTTCACAGAGCTCTCGGGCACCTCAGGCAGGACGGTGCTTAATCCAAACCAAGGGGCAAAGAAGTACAGATGGTTATCAGGAACAGGTGAGAAAATGTGTATGTAGAGTCATATGCTGATACACAATTTATTTGGCTTGTTTCCCAATTACACACTAGCTAAAGGCAGAAGGCAAGGCAGGATGGCACCAAAGGACACCTATACACATGATGGACCTCTGCTCCAACGTGTGCTGGAGTGTGCTAATTAGCATGCTCCAGCAGCCTCTGTGTCACTCAGCATCCCTGCGTTTCAAAATGGCAGTGGGGGCACTTTAACTAGAGCTCAAATGTCCGCTTTCCGCCTGGATACTTCTACTGTTTGGTAGTAGCCTATTTTACAAATGTACAATTGAGTACACATGACATTGCTGGTGCTGTAATTAGAGTGGCTCTGACAGCCACCCTAATTAAAGTGCTCAGAGTGTTTTGTATATCAAGCACATGTATAGACATCCTTCAACTCTAACTGGGTCAGAGAGGCATGAGCTTTTGTAGGCAACAACCTACTTTGTCAGATACTATATAGCAGCTGAATAAAAAGGTGATTGGGAGCTGATTCTCATTCTGTGTAAGGGCTATTGGTTTCCAGGAGACCTGATTAGTCTCTTCTGCCTATATGCTAATGCATGGACATATGGATTCTGTATACCAGTGAGTCTGTTGAACAGTAAACAATGTTTAATCTGGTATTACAAGGAAGGAATAAAACTTTGGATTCAGTTATGTTTAGAGGTGCACCAATACATCAGTCCCATATTGTATCGGCACCAATATAAGGACAATTGACATTATTGGCAGTCAGCTTTTTTTGGCTGGTGTGGCTGATACTGTCACTGATAAATGCCCTGTGCATGCGTCACAGTGCAGCATGGGGGCGGCCAGGAGTACAGCCCAGCAGCTTGGAGAACAGTGTCTGGCTGGTAAATATGTTGTGGGGGAAGGAAAGGAATGTGGGGAGGGGGGCAGCTCGAGGCCTCTGCAGTGAGGGAGGGAGGGAGGGACTGGGCCTGGGGCAGGGGCAGGGGCAGGTGCTGCATAGCCCAGGTGGGGCAGGGCATGGGATGGAGTGCTACTACCAAGTAGTGTTAGTACCCTGGCAGAAAGTGGACATTTCAGGAAGTGGATACATATTTTTGAAGCATTCTGGGGATAAATAAAAAGAGTGAAATTGATTAAAGCCCTTGAGACATTTCCAGGAGTGCCTGAAGATGTTGCTCAGCAGCATGATCAATAGTCCAATCTATGTCCATTCAATTTTCTAGTATTTGTATGTGTAACCTCCGTAGAAAAGAAGAAATTTTCTGTAGGACACAAAGATATCTGCATTAAAATCTATTTTTAGTAATGTATACATATAACTAGGGGTGCACTGACTGAGACTTTTTGGGCTGATACAGATGGCCGATTTTTAATGACCCATAGCGGCTGATACTGATCCAATTGCCAATATGCAGCCTGGCAGCCTGGAGCTGAGTGTCTGGCTGGAAAGTCTGTTGTGGGGGA